GGCAGGCATCCAGGTGTTGCAAAATGCTGAGTGACATTTTCTCCTCTTCATCTGCCATCCTGGCTGTGCATGTGTGCTGCCAGCTGAAACCCCAGCCTATAGGATATAATATAAGCCTCTTACTGTTGTATTCATTCCAGTGAAATCTATTTAAGTGCTGTAATTAAGCAATTCATTTTTATATTTGGGCAAGTGTTCTCAGTATATGTCTCTTTAATTGATTTAATCAATTCTGTAGGTATTGATTTTAGACCATCTGAATACCCTAATGATGTGTTCATTTGTTAATAGGAGTTTCTCTTCTGAACTCAGGCAATCAATGAAATTTACCAATACATGCCTCTAGCTTGAGGTATGGCTGTGCCTCACAGGACAGCCCCATGAAAAATAAAAACAAAACAAAACACAGAAACAGAAAACCAATGCAAACAATTGTTCTGTCTTGTTTCCATAATGCCTGATACCCAGTTATTTGAAATTGTCTGAATGATCAACTTTGTACTTTTTATCAAGAAATGTATGGTATAGACCTAGCTTGGGTGTATCTGCTAGGAGGATGCTGGGAAAAAGCCATACAGGCAGGAAATATAAAAGCCATATAGAACACTGCTAATGGAGTCACATTTCATGCTTGACTGATAGCATGATCACTGATTACGGATGGACGGAGCAGCCCCTGAACGTGTAGCCTTGTAAAATGAGTCCCGCGCTGCAATGTCTGTAGGCCATCTGAGTTCTCACTTCGACTGTCTCAACAAACAGGGAGTGTATTGCATTGAGTTTGTTTCCTGTAAATCTCTGGGGAGGGGCTGGGGGTGGGGGCATTGTCATAAGTCTGGGCATGACTGTTCAGGGGATGCTTCTTAAAAGCCCCCAAAACTTCTCTAATTTTTTTAAAAGACATAGTCTACATGTCTACTGGACTAGAATTAGTGAGTGATATATAATCCCTGGGACAGAATTACCTTCTCAAAGAATTTTTAAGAAGTTTAATCTGTATATAGAAGTTCCTGTAAGTTTTCTAAGTGCCTTGTATGTAGCCTTTTCTCCCTAAGAAACAATGATGTTAGGCAAGCCATGGAGGATGGGGCCCCAAAGCCAGCCACTTTCTTTCCTCCCTTGTTCTTTCTTTCCTTCTTTCTATTTGTCATGAGAGCTCTACCTTTTATGGTTCACATAATTCAGTATGGTCCCTGAGTCACTTCAGCTGCAGTGCAGCGAAAGGATTTTCTATGTATCAGAAAGACAGGGTCCTTCTTATCTTTAGGAAGACAGATTTAATGAGTGAGCAACTCTGAGCATGTCCTTAGCCACATCATCCCTCCTGAGGAAAGAAATTTGCTGCTTAGCAGGATACCACGAGTGGTGCCATGCTGGTGATGAGAGAAGCAGCGGCTCATAAACACTCCTAGGAAAGAGAGAAGTGCCTTCTCCCTGGGCATGTAATTTTCTCAAGATGCCGTATCACCGAGGAGGCTCACCTAGGGTAGCCGCCTCAGGGCTTCCCGACCTCAGGGCCCAGTGTCCTTGACAAAGTGAAGAGCCCTCCTGATGGTGGGAGGTACGAGAGGCACCGTGGGGGAAACTCTCCGAACCCCGTACTGCTGGGATTCTATATGGGAAAGAGGGCCCTTCCTAGGCCTGCAAGTGGACGGGCGTGGGGGGGTGAGTGTGTGCACATGCACCCACGCCCCCACAGCGCCTCAGGTACCCTGATGGCCCTCCCAGCAGCAGCGGCCCCCAGGCCTGTGAGGGGGATAGGCCCTCCCTGCTGGGCTAGGCCTGTTGGGTTCGAAATACTCCTGCCGTGCAGGGAGGAACAGAGTGGCTCCGATAGTCCTCGCTGGAATAACTGCGTGGGGTCACTGGTCAGGAAGCCCGAAACTCCAGCCATAACAGCTGATGCTCAGACGCCTGATGGAGAAGCAGCCCCAATCCAGATGTGCCGCATCTGCTTGGCACGCTGCAATTCCTAGAGCTCAGTCGTGGAGGTTGGCTACTCATGACCACTGTTGAAGCCAACAGGGCAGGAGCAAAGATCTTTGTTTGTCAAAGGAGGAAACTGAGGCTCAGAGGCATTAGCCACCTTGCTAGTGTCATGATGATGGCAAATGGCAAAGCTGGGAGTAGAGCCCTGGTGTCTGGATTTCTAGCTCATCACTCTCTCTGCTATAGACCACTGCCTCTCGTCACACCATATGGGAGTATAGTTTTTAACATTTTAATTTATTCGATCATCCTTTCTTATACTACAGCTTCCTTAATGGCAAGCTAACTATCATGTTAGGGAACTGTGCCACAAAATAAGTAGAATATAGGTTTTAAAAGCATATAGATGTGACAAATCAAAGCAGCAGAAGTGTTGACTATCTAGCCTCCATTTTCCAATCAGTTTAAATTACTTCAATGTGTGTTTTTGAACGCAAAATTAGCTGTAATCCCCATATGCAACCCTCCTAAAGCTTGGTGAATTACACTAGATCATTTCATGTTGATTCCCCGCCCTTTGCAGGGCAGCTCGCGTTCTGGCACATGTATCTGGAACTTAGGATTGTCTTTCATGTCCCATCATTCCAAAAGAGTTTTCTCCTTGCAAATTTTGCAGACTAATTCTTATACCTTAATGGTATATTAGCACCCAAATAATTTGCTTAACTTTTCATTAAAGTCTCAGTTGAGTAATTCCTTATAGCATGCTTGAAACAGCATCAAATTACAGTGGAAGTGCAGGGCACAAATTGTGAGCTGTGTCTCTTGTCTGGTGGGGACTCCCTCAGACCAGTTAGCTTAGAGATTAAAGACAACGAGCGCACGGGAGGATGGCATGAGCACATCTGACTAGAGCTGCCGGGATTCCGGCATGATGCCCTAGTCAATGTCTGAAGAAAAGAGAACCTCTCGGCATAGATATTTTCAGTCAATAACCAAGCAACCTAGAAAACGTTAATTTGGATTAAGTTATTTTCCTGTAACAGCTGTATAAAAGGATGTATGTTTCAAAGAAACTGGCCTTGAACATGATTACATTCCTCCCCATCAGAGAAAAATAACTGGGTCTAATTCGCAGTCCCAAAACCTAGGGAAGAGAGGGTGTTTTCAACAGCATGTTGCAGAATCAGAGCTGGGTTAAGCGGTATCACTTTGATTTGTCCCCTCCCTGTCTTCCGCCAGTGGCCTGCGCTACTAGTATACCCGGCATGCTTCAAAAGAGAGCCCCTCGAACACCAGGCCTGCTGCTCTGTGATAACCTAAGTCTTCTTCGAGGACAGACTTGTTTGGATTTTAAGGGATTGGGAAAAGTGGGTTCGTGTGATTTCCACAATGACAGGTCTTCAGCCCACAACCATATCTTCTTCCAAACTGGCCAGGACTGGGGGAGAAAAGGTGGTAGGAAATGCAGGCATCCGTGGGTGGGGTGTGTGGGCATGAAGACCCGGTGCGGCACCACAGGAAGGTCTCTGCCCGAGCCTCGGCTCCTCACCAGCATCCTCCCAGGGACTGTTCAGTGACAGGCATTCATGTCCCTAAAACACGTGAGACATGCCTTCGGCCAGCCAGATACATATTCCTTGTTTTATTATTTTCACCTGTTACCTCATTCTCTAGCTTTCTTGCTTTTCCACCACTTGCCAAAACTCATTTTCAGGCACAGATGGTGACAAAAGGATTTTTGCCTACCGAGCCAAAGAAAGTGCCCAAATATTAATGAGTATTTATCTAGCAACAGAACTTGAGTCTTAATAGACAAGAAGGACTTGGATTTCTACCACTGATGTCTAAACTTAGGATGTACCTCATTTATTTTTTAAAACATGGCTTTGAAGAAGTGCATTGGGTTCAGTATGCTTAATGTTAGATTATCAATCGCCTCTGTTTCACGTGGCTGCTGCTGCATCCCAGTTTCCAGCACTGTTCTCTCCATCTCCTGGCCCTCACCCACCTCCAGGATTCACAGATAGAAAGGTCTCCAAGTGAGTACTTTTTAAGAGTCTTAAGAACGCAAGGTTGCCAAACCACTGCTCCCATGGTCTCCATCTGAAATGTTATTTCTATAGCCTGCAAAAGTCTAGGGTTTGGTTCTGATTACATAATTATGCTACAGAAGTATGAAAAAATCAGCACTAAAACCCTCCAGGTGCTTAAACAGTTTGATAGACTGTAGCCATTCTGCCATCAGCGCCCCCAGCTGTGTTGCTTAGCAACATTTTAATTCCAGAAGAATCGAAGGAGATGCAATCCCTGTGGAGAAGGAAACAGAAATAAGAAGGCTGTTGACAGATGATCTGAGTTGTTTCTTCTAATATACTGTGAAGATCACTAGCTCTTTTCATGAATGATAAATGGACTGTACACAGATCAATGGCTTCAGCAATAAACTGGAACCAGGCTCCATGTCTAAGGCAGCGCAGGCCGAGAGGGCCAGAGATTTCCTCATTTTGATGATTTGGTGTGTGTTTTCTTAAAGGTTCCACTGGAGGAAATTGATCCGAGCAGCCGGTCATCCCTTGCGCTTTTGTGATGTCTGCTAATAAAAATGATTTTAGAAATGGACACTGTGGCCTTTCTGTCACCATGCAGGTGCAGCCAGGTGTCAACTGTGAGGCAGGGGAAATGGTTCCCTATCACAAATGTCAAAATCCAAGCCTACGCCCATGGCCTTCCTTTGGCACCTACCTCCCCACCCTTTCACAACAACCCAAGCAGGCCCACCCTGGGGGTAAGCTTAGAGTGAAAGGTGGGGGCGGGGGATGGAGCTGTGACCCCGAGGGTCCCCGTGTATGGGCCCTGCTGAACTTGCCCGCAGCTGTGCCTGTAAGCTGCTCATGGACAGGTAACCGCCTTCCCCAGGAGAGGAAAATTGCTTTTTGCGTCTGCAGCCTGCTTTGGTTAGCTCCTTACGTTTGTGAAGAGCATTTTATATTGCTTATTGTTTTGGTAACTTGTTGCAAAGATTACGCCTGCTAATGTGGTCTAATTGCATTTTTTTCTTCTGTTTACAGGCTGTTGAAAAGGCAAAACCTAAGAATAATCCTGTGAAGTAAGTTATTTTTTTATTTGTTGGAAATTTTAATTTGAACAGACTTCACACATGTGGGAAAAAAAAGTCATAAAAGAGACCTTGGATTTTGAGTTAATCTCTGTCTAAGAACAAAAACAAAACAAGCAAATAAAAAAGTACCTCCAGTGAGCAGGGACCAGCTTTTCTTTTCTCCTGTGGTCCTGATGAGAAAGTGCCTGAGTTGTACCCAGTTGATATAAATTAATATGTGCCATCCATGAATAGCTGCCAAATACTAGTATAATCATGTTCAATGCAGAGTGCTTCAAGCCTTTGGGTTTTGCACATGCTAAAAAGATTATATTTTTTAATTGCAAACGTTGGACCTATGACAGAGATGTAAATGGCTGAAAATGTGCCAGGCGATTTCCAGCACGTGGGGAGGTTTGGCACCTCGGCATCAAGGCCTCTTTCCTCTGTTAATGAAAAGCTCATAAAAATATTTTTAATGAAAGTTTCTTCCTGGCTAACAGCGAGCAATTTTCAAGGCATTTTATGGGACACTCTTAAATTATAAACAAGCAGCACAGCACTGTTTTAAATACAGTACATCTTAGACATCCTGTCTCTTCCAGAAGGGAGACTTTAAAATTAAGGATGTCTGTCTTGTCATTTGGGTTTGTGACATCTGACTGCAGTATTGTGGTACATACCAGTCCTGCCAGCCATGTGGCCTAGGGAAGACCTGCTCTATTGGCTGGATTACTATAGGTCTGGGAATATCACATCTCTAGGAACTACATGATAATTTACATCAGCCAGCTTCCATATAGTGGGTGCCCAATGCAGAACTGGGGAGTGCATTGACTTGTAATCATTTTTGGGAGAATGGATCAGCTAATGCCAGGGGCAAGAAGGCTGCTTGTGTTTCATAAAAGAATTAACTTTTCCAAGTCACCAGGGGAGTGCTTAGGACACCTATAAATTCAAGCGCTAATTCATTTTTCCAAAAGGCTTCAAGTACTTTGTCCTTAAATTTCATTTTTCTCAGGCCGCAGAATGTCCCTTCTCAGGCTTCTGTCCCCTCTGAGGGCGTATGTGTAGTCTGCAGATGTATTATGCTGTAGTTGTCCTATGGGAGCATTTTGAGTAGCTGAGTTTTTGTCTAGTTGGTGGGGGTTGAAATTTCTGCAACCTGATTTCTTTTCATCTATACCCGGAAGGCTTCTGTACTTGGAGCCCGTGGCAGGTGAGCCCCATGGGCTAGAGGATGGTGCTAATGAGGCTAAGGCCAGGACTTCAGTCGCTGGGTGGGCCATTAGTGCTTGTCTTTCTCCTAGTATGACTGCACCCCTCCCTCCAGCCCACCCATGTGCAGACATGAGCCCCAGGTCACAAGGGATGGGGCAAGGGTGGAGGGGTGTAAACCCAGGTCCTCACAGACACAGGCATCTCAAAGTTCAAGCCCTTGCAATAGGACGGGAGTTCCAAGCTCCGCCTTTGGCCTGGTGCCAGGCTGCATTTAATCATATTCTAATGAACTGTAAATAGGGCCAGTTTTCTCTCTGTAACTTGAGAGGGCTCAACCCTACAGATAACCAGGTTTCCTTACGAGCTCTTGTTGATTCACAGTCCAGACTCTATCTAATGTCTAGCATTTTAAGGAATATTAGAAAGAGAAAACAGGAAAGCTAAAAGAGTCAAAGCATTAATAGTTGAATATGGAGCTTTTTACTTGTAAATACATTTGAAAATCTGTTTAGTAATAAGCCTAAGTCACAATCAGATGGGAGATGTTTAGAATTGTCCTCTAGTTAAATCAGATGCTGTTCTCACAGGTGAGTTTGGGTGTCCTGTTGCATTTGAGCTCTTGATAGGTAGCTTGCTCATCCAGCCACAACCATCCGGGCACTTTGAGAAGACAGGCCTCTTCAAGACCTCAGTTCAGGGGCAGAAATTCCAGAGCATAGTGCAATTACACTGCCTGACAGTAGAGCAGAAGCCGAGTTTTTAAAGGTTTTGTGTATAGTAGGCTTCTTTCTATTCCTGATGTCTGACAGAGATTTTCAGTTATGCACAGTCCACTGGGACCCCGAATACAGGAAAAGTTCTATACGTGTTTTCTGGATGAACAAACAAGTAAACAAATTGGACACATCCCAACTACAGTCCTTCCTGTAACCTGGCCTGGAGGCATAAGACTGGTGACTCGGCAGCAGTAGACTGTCAGATCCAAACGACTTTTTTGGTCCTTTAAAACATTGAATAGGTGTTCACTGAGCCCTTGCGTATTGTAACTGCCCAAGTCATCTCGTTTCTTATTCTTCAGTCACGCCGCATGTAAAATGTTCACGCACTGCTTTGGTTTATTCTAGTCACTTTGCTTCTGACCAGTTACCGGCTTGATCTTGTATGTAAGAATTAACATTTGATTGTTTGAACACACAATGGAAAGTGTGTACAGTCTTGCTGGAAAAATAGAGGTCTGGAGGCATTTACAACTAAAGAGCGAACACAGATTGGTGAAAATGATCACATGTGTGATTGGCTGTCATCCTCTGGTACAGTTTGACACATGGTTGGGAAAAAATCAAAAGAAGACTCTTCTGTGACATGTGAAAATTATATGAGATTCAAATCTCAGTGTCTAAAAAAAGGCTGGCACCCAGCTACACTCATTTGTTTCCATATTGTCTCTGGCTCCTTTACTGCGGCTGTGGAAGAGTTGAGTGGTTGTGACAGACTATACAACCCACAAGCCCAGAAATATTTACTCTCTGGACCCTTACAGAAAAAGCTTGCTGACCCCCGCTCCAGATGGCAGGTAGTGAAAGTCAGAGATGTAAGCTTTTCCATGACTCTGAAAGCTAAACTATCAACCCTGTCTTTTTTTTTTTTTTGTCCTCTAAAACATTAAATAGGTATTTACTGAGCCCTTGTCAGGTGTCCTGGACTTTCTGGAGCTGATGTACCACCTAATTCTCATTCAGAGCAAAGAGGCCACTCCTAATTCGCTATTTAAAAAAAAATCGTTGTGGGTATGAGATCCATTGATGGGGTGGTGATGCCTCAGAAACCAGTAAATATATTGGGTGTAGATGGATATATTGCAAAAGGCATATGCATTTTCTATGATTCTCTTGCTCCCCAAGATCTAACTAAAGCTAAGTAAGCTTTCATTCAGTGATGGCAAATGATTCACAATATTCCTTTAGTTTGTGTATTTTCCCCTCTAAAGGTTCACTACCTCCTCCCTATTTCTCAACCACTTGTTCAATTTATTTTTAATACCTTTATGGTTGTAAGCTTCTTTCATCACCATAGGGAGACTGTGGTACACATTAATTACACTCCATACAAAGGAGAAATTAAATATATATACTTAGTGAATATAAGCATATAATATACCTGGATACACTAATGACTTTACCTTGAAACATTAAAGATTACCTCTGAGGGTAAGAATCAAAATTGAATGTTGTTAAGATCAGTGATCAGGACAAGAGATGCTGGCGTGTTTCGCAGTCTATTGGAACTATGCTGGTATCAAAGCTTGATTAGTGTGTTCAAACTGTGGCTCTTTAATGTGTCAGGGAGACTTTTACTTGTATGTTAATGTTCTGAGGCAATTATCTCCAAGCTTTCATTGTGACAAGAAGGCCTGAGAGATGTACAGATTTCTTCTACCATATGTGACTTATCACATACATTTTTTTAAAAACACATTTCTGTTATTAAGACATATGTGATAGTACACTTCTGCAAATGTGAATTGCTTTTGGCTAAAAGCCATGCACTAATAAGTTGAATTGAATCTAACCGAGGTTGACATCTGTTACCAAAAGAGAGAGCGCGAGCGAGCAGTTGTCAAGCATAAAATTCTTCCTGGCTTTTACACTTTAACAACGTTAAACAACGTGGTTGTTGTCTTTCACAAATCAGGATCAGAATCCACTCTGCTTAGGAAATTACAGCTTTATTTAGGAACCAATCCATCTTAAAGATATGGTGGTTTCATTATTGAAAATGACAAATAGCCACAAAGATTTTCCTGACCGTGATGTTTGTGCATTATTCATTCCTTCATCCAATGAATATTTATTGAGGATCCACAGCATTCCAGGAACTGTGATAGATGCTTAGGGAATTAAAAATAAGTCTGACACAGGTCTTACCCTCGAGGAGTTTAGTGTCCAGTAGGAGGGATAAAATCGGTTTGTAAGGAACTAAATACAAGATAGAGAGAGATGTCTGGTAAGTGGGGGACAGATAAAGTACAAGAGAATCTCTAAGGACAGAAAGTGCTTCTAGTTATCACTACTGCAGAAGGCAGGGGTGGGGGAACATTTGCACGGGGACTTCAAAGACTGTGAGGGTGACTGAGGTGGCAGGCAGTGCAGGGGTGGGTTGGAAACTGAAGCCCAGAACAAATAGTGGGGTAGGGCCCTGGGGGCTTATCCAGATGAAAGAGATTAGCTTGGTAGTGTCAAGCAGCGGTGCAAAGCTCTAACTCCTCACCATAGAGCATCAGTTAGGCCCCTAATTATTCAACACAAACAAAGGGTCCATGGAGTTGGATCTAGTCTTGAATCTACCACTAGCTTGTGGTTGGAAATTGACGTGTTCTTTCCTTGCTACAGACCTCAACTAAGTTATTTATATGGCTCGTCCACCTCTTAAAAAAAGCTGAAGTTTAGAATCCTGTTGTGTAAGAATGCTTACTTTAAGAAATATTTTATGTTAAAGTTTGATGTAGATACATACAAGCATATACATTATAAATGATAAGCACTGCATATGTGATGTATTTGTTTATAGACACGTGCACACACACACACACACACACACACACACACACACACATACAATGCCTTTTCCCATCATTTCTGCCTTGTGTATTTGTGAAATGAGGGACAAAAAGCCACGTCCTTAGAATTTTAAAGACCTTTGTTAAATAGATCAGCAGTGCTCCACAAATCCTGGATTGAGGACTGGATTGAGCCTTTTCAATGACCCCTTATGACCGAAAGTGAGTTTGC